ACACACACACACACACACACACACACACACACACACACACACACACAGTGGTGGGGGGGCAAAGAGCCGGTGCAGCTACTGCCGAGGTTTAGAACACAGCAGTACACATATGCACACTCCCGGGCATTATGTTAAATCACTAGGGAAGGACAAGAGGAGATTTGCAGACAAGTCAGAGGCTCTGGGGGGAAAAAAATCAGACAGGAAACTAGTTCTGTTTAAAGTGCAGTTATCGGTAAGAATGGTTTCCTAGGAGTCACCATGGAATTTCTCTCATTCAGTATTTCAGAGACAAAGCCTCAGCTGTGAAGGATTTGCTAGGTTCAGTGTGAAACACTCATGCCCTGAAAGCACACGACCCTCACTGCCTCCCTATGCCCAGGCCCTCAAATGAAATGCCCCACTTGGTGTCCCCACATCAGAATGAAGACGACAGAAGCCTGGGGTCACATTGCTGCATTATTCATGATTACTCAGGTGGCAGGAACTGTGTAACACTCAGGAAAACTGAAAGATGCTACTATCCAGCATTCTGTAAGGCAGAGACTACCAAGGATAGGCTTTTTGTTTAGGTCTTCACTCTGGTCCAGAGCGAACCACAGGAGCCTAGGCTAGTATAAATATATTTCCAGAGAAATAGGCCTATCTGCTCACAATCAATAGCGTACCAAAATAATCAAATCCAGAGGGCTGGGGATGTAGCACAGTGGTTCACTGGGTCATGGTTTTGGTCCCCAGCACACATCCCCCAAAAAGGACCCTTTCCCTGGTAGCCATTAGATACACCATTCAGGCAGTTCCAAAGGCAGACAGGGGTACACAAGGTTCTAAAAGGCATGAGGCCAAGCCTTGGATCCAGATCTAGGCTTCTCTGGCAAGAGGACTGGTTCTGAGACATTTCAATCAGAAAAGAAACCCACGAGAGGCTGTCAACAGTAATAAAGGTGGGGGCTCTTCTTGCAGTACTTAAAAAAAAAAAATGAACCAGTTTCTCTATAGTACAGTAACCTCAAACGAAATTAGAACTTGAATCTATTCACTACAAAGAATGCAAGCATTAAGCGCAGGGGTACTACATGATCAATGGGTATTTATAGGGTTTTAGAAGATTGCACCATTCTAGCCTTTATAATCCAACCCTAGTTCACAATCCTGTCCCTCTTCTACACATCTCAGGGTAGCTCCCTTCCTGATCACGACCCTTTCTCTGGCTGGCCTCATGTTTGTGGAACGATGGGGTCTAGACAGAACCCTGTACAAAAAAAAGTCCTTAGTAGCCCTGAATGAATGAATGAACGATCTGTTGGCATCTGAAGGTTTGTCACGGGAAACACTTGAGGGTATCAATGGCTGAGTGTTTCCCAAGGTACAGAACAAAAGCTGCACTGCCAGCGGATGTTCCGTCTGCACTTATCACCCTTGCTGAGACTGTTTTCACCTGGCAGTCTGTCTGCCAACTATCATGACAAGGTCCCATTCCTTTATAAGGCTCTGCTTCTTTTCTGAAAACCAAATCCACACAAATACTGAAATAAAACCCGAATTTGCATTTCTCCCCTTTCCATGGTCACTTTGTGCCATCACAGAAAATAAAAATAACATCTGTGGGTGCCAGACACTTCCAGCACAAGAAGTAATTTCTGAACAAATTATTTTCTATGACTCTTTCTACACCAAAGGTGGCACTATTATTATACAAACTCATCCTTTCACTTTTTATAGAAACGAGGAAGCAGCAATTATGATGAGCTGTGACTAGAGGAGCAAACATCTGAGGCGCAAACTCGGAAAGACAATGTGTAAAACTGGAGGTGGGGCTGGCCCACAGATATAACAAAACACGTTCTCCTTCCTGAGACCTTCTGGCTATTAACTTAAAGATAAAGGAACTTGGACAAATTTGAGGTTACCAAGATTTTTCTAAGAGCTCCTGCAATCAAAAGGCTGGGTGGTTGAGTGGTGACACACTGTCACTACCAGTTGCAAACACTGTCTCTGGAGGAAGATATCACGACCCAACTTTAAGTTACCAAGCCAGCTGCATTTTGGGGAGCGCCAATGGCCCTGCCATCCTCTCGCTGGGGACCCTTACTTCTTAGACCTCACATCATACTGCCTATCTTCGTATGCCTTGGTCCTCGCCTGGTTGTACTTCCCCTCTCCCCTCCCTGTTTTCTTTTTCAGCAGCCATTCTCAGCTGAGTCCCAGGTACTGCGGGGAGCCTTCCAGGGATCTCACTATTCCCCAGTACCAGTATAAACTAAGGCTGTCAGAGGCATCCACTCTTAGCAACACTGCTTCTCACACTGCACTGCACTTAGCTAAGAGCACCTCAAGGGCAGGCACCGTACCTAATTCACTTGTCTCTAGCACTCAATAAATTAACACATTTGTTAATTTGGGCACTAGGGCACTTATTATGCAAGTTCCCACCATTTGTGTGTATTTTTGTGTACCCAAATAACTGTGAGCTTCTCACACATGATTGGTGTCTTATTCACCTGTCTTTGTCCTTTGTCTTAGCACAGTGCAGGGAAATACCAGCTGAATGCATAAAGGCAAATGCGTCCTCTCTAGTATCACACAGGTACAGTCATGATGGCACTGAAGCGAGCTCCACAACAGTGATATTCTGCCCTCACATCCCAGTGGTTTCCTGATCATTCTAGAACAACAAACCCAACACAAATGCAAGACAGGCAAGGATGCTGGGCTGTGTAAGCAAAAGGGCCAAGACAAGTAGCATTCTATGAAAAGTTGATTTCAAACACATTCATCTCAGGGCAGGCCTAAGAATTCTCTGAGTATGGCAATTTATCATCAACTCACCCCTAAGTGTTTGGAAGCTAAATTACATACAAAATACAAAAGCAACCTGGTGTAAGGCCTGCTGCCTGTGAGAGGAAAAGGCAGCTTTGCAGGGGCGCGAGTGTGAGAACTCTAGCAGATGAAGGCTTCAGGGAGAGCTCTCAGGACAACACACAACGGAACCAACAACCTGAGAGAAGAAGCCTTGAAAGCCAAGCAGAAAAGGCATTTTTGTCTTTTCCAAAACTGATAGTGAAAGTGCCAAGATGTGGAAATGAAGGTCGTGGAGGGGTCTGGGAGAACTATTGCCATAAGAGTATACTGGAACCAACACCTCAGCACCTGGGAAATCAGAAAGAACTGATGAATTGCCAACACCAGCACTTGTCACTAAACTGTGACTTTAACATTTTTTCATGTTATCAGCGGCATCAACCAGTTTTCAGTTTTTCCAGGATTCCATAAAGCTCAGAGTCCTGCACATGTTCTCAGGTAGACATGAAGCATCCTCTCTCTAAGTGAGTACCAGCAGCTGACAGTGCTGTCCATCAACAGAACAAATACTGCCTAAAAGTCCTCTGGACTGTTTCTACTCAAATGAGAACATTGGGCTAGTACTACCATCCAGATTTTTATTAGGTGCTCAGGCTCTAATTTTTTTTTTAACTTAATTTTTAAACTCACATATCAAAGACATGATTGTTCATATTTTGGGGCTCCATATGACATTTCAACATCTATATGTATATATACTGCAATGCTCACATCTATTTCATCCAGCAATTTTATAATTAGTTTACCTATCATTAGTCTATATGCTCATGCATGGTGCACAGGGTGTGCATGCCGTGTTTGGAGAGCTCAGTGGACAACTCTGTGGAGTCAGTTCTCTCCATCACCTTAACATGAATTCTGGGGTGTGTGTGAACTCAGGCTGATAGGCTTGCAGAGCAAGTGCCTTTAGTCTCATTGAGCCATCTTGGTGGCCTTCTTTTCCCTTTTATTTGTGTGTATACATGATGTGTGTTGTGTGTTGGGGAGCACGTGTGCCATGGTGCATGTATGGAGGTCAGCAGTGGAGTCTTTCTTCAGAACACTCTGGTGTTGTAACCTAGGCTGTAGAGACCACAGTGGCAGTTAGCACCATGCTGCTCCTGTTGTTGCTGCTGCTGCTGTACCGGGAAGGGGTGGGGGCGAATGATAATGCCCGTGTTAGCTGGGCATTCTGTGGGTCTCCACTGCTAGTTCTCTCTTTCACTTCAGTGTGGGTTCTGGGATCAAACTCAGGTTGCCAGGCTTGTAAGCACCTTTACTCACTAAGCACTGTGTTAGCACCAATATTGCTATTCCTTTATGGTGAAAACACTCAACTTTTTTTCTACTGTTTTTTTGAAATTTAAAGTACACCACTGTTAACTAGTCACCCCACTAGGCCACAGCACCTGAACTTCTTATTCGTGTAACTCGGTACTCAGAGATGACAAAAAGAAAGAACTTTTTTTCAGAAGATGGAATTGAAAAGAGAAACACTGCAAAACACAATCTTAAGAGTTGTCTGATCCTTAGCCCTGGGCCATGAATATGTATGGGCTCCTTGTTAGTGTGCTGTGAATGGCTGGAGCCTGAGTAGTCAGTTCAGACCTAGACAGTCTTAAGTGTCACAAGGGAGATTAAAACAAGTCCCAGTTAATATTCACATTGCCCTCTTGTTCCCTCTGTAAAGGGACAGGGAACAAGAAAGAGTGGGGGAGAAAATTCAACATCTTCTAAAGTCTCTAATCCTACCAATACTTGAAGTCCTTTATTGTATGCTTAGCTCTGGAAAGAGCGCTTCTACTGTTTCCATAGCTACTACAAATAGAAGGCATGAGCCTGTTTGTCACAAAACTGCCTTGAAAGGGCCCGCAATCAGTGCTGCAGCTTTTCTGCAGAACACTCTGGTGTTGTGACCTAGGCCACAGAGACCACAGTGGCAGTTAGCACCATGCTGCTGCTGCTGCTGCTGCACCAGGAAAGGAGGAGGAGCTGAGAATACCTGTACCAGCTGGGTACCATGTGGGCCCATGCTAAGCCTGGACCTGTGAACAGGTTAGGTGACTCAGTATTAGTGGGCAGAAAATTGGAGGAAAAATTTCACAAGCAGTTTAATACCAACTGGCCGACTTACATACAAGTCAACTTTCAAGTACAATCAACTGAGTTAAAATGTTACCTGTTAAGACAGACTTCATCCAGCTATAGGCAGAATGTTTCTAGTAATCAAATCCAACAGACTTCAAGTCTAAAGATGACTGTTGCCAAGGCCCAAACCCTCTCTGGGAACCTGCTGAGAATGGGGGTTGGCAAGTAACTGGCAAGAAACTATAAACAGTTTTATATATTTGATATAATTTTCATATATGTTAGGGAATCAATTTCAGAGTCTAAAAATTCAGTTCTCTATTGACCAGGACACGTGAGTGACCCAGGGCTCTGTGGCAGAACAGAGCCACACTGCACACCTCCGTCCTGCCTGCCGACTCCTCTCCAGGAGCCTCCTTCCAGCTCTCGTTCTGACAGTAACTCTACAGGTGCTTCCCAAGCAGCACTGCTTCCCCTTCTCTATGAGTTAATCCTGTTTCTGAGGGGAAGGTAGATGGAGGCCACCCAGCTCCTACCAAGAAGGCCTGGGGTGCTGAACACTTGTTTCCTGGTCCCTACCCTCAAGGTTTTCCTGCTTTATATGAGGGGAATAAGCACACTTCGGTTTTAGTAATATAAACCATTTCTACAAGTTTTATAACAGGACTGCTTGCTATGCTCTTAAACTTCAGTTCTGCATAGTTTGAAAAGGGTGTTACTTAGTGGTGATGCAGGCACTTACCATTCACTCTGGTCCTCAGATAATCCTTCCATGGCACGGTTTGTAAAGGCCCTTGAAGGAGACTTCTCTGTCACCAACTATTCTCACAGTTTTGTTGGAAGACCGCCATGCCTGCTTTCTGCCCTATAGCAGTAGCTCCTCCAAAGCTGTATGCATGTAGATCCTGTTCCTTCACTGGCTCGCTGTCTAAAATAACCTTTCAACATACTATGTAGGTAAAGATCAACTATTATATGGCATGCATATATAGATATTATGTCAAGTACATATATATCCTAAAATTAAAGTAAAAGCCTTTGATATCTAAACTATTATCAACGAAATGTAAGTATCCCAATTCCATACTTTTAATAGTCCCTTGCTTACTAGTTCCTTGCATATCCAAAGCCACAGGTCAACATCTGAATGGCAGCATGTTAAACTCCATGCTTCTTTGGCTTACTGTCTTTACAACTACTTAGCTTCTCTGAACAGGCCGATCATTTCTAGATATCCAGAGAGATTTCTGTTGCTTTCAGAATGAAGTTCATTTTATATCACTGTTAACTTTTATCATTATCTTTAGTTATCAATACTCATTCATTACACACTATTTTCATTCAGAAACTAAAGAGGAAGGCTTAGTGGGGACAGATCCTCCTGAGTTCCTGAGATGGTGCTGGAACCAATGTATGCAGTAACCATCACAAACCGCCCACACTGGCTCCTCCTACTGCCCTAAATTGTTGGATTATCTTGTATCTGTCTTCTGCGTTGTGTGTTTTAATGCAAGGGTACATCTATATTCAAGGGTTTCATTGAGTGCTGCATGTGCCATTCCACGGTTTGCGGCCTGTTGTCTAACAAATGTCTAGCAGAACACAGCTCACATCATGTGTGCATACCTGTCAACTTGCTAATGGCTAGCTACCAACACTGAAAGCGGGAAAGAGAAAAACAAACAGAAAAGGGTAGGAAAGAAAAAAATTGCCACATTCGTGAGTTATAGGCCATAATGTGAAGAATATGGAATATGTGTTCTTAATACAAGCTACAAATAGCAAGTAGTTTCTGCAAGTTTACACAGAGGGAAAGCCACCTCAGAATTATCACCACTTTAAAGACCAGATGCTTTCCTGTCCTCTCCAGCCACAAGGGAGACAGAAAGAAATTGCAGAGATGGTGCAAAACCGCCTGAACAGCTCTGTTGCTAAAGACCTGCTCTTCTGTGCAAAGGCCACATTTACTCTTTACAACGTCCAACCTATTTTTCCTAGAGTGACCTTTAAAGAGGAGTGAGACACTGTTCAAGGGCCTCCTCGAAGCCCACACATCGCTCCACCTTCTGAAAGCTCCCATTTCCTGACAGCATCTGTGGGCAGGGTGGGGAACCATGCCACATACCGCCCTCTGTCTGGACCCTGGCTGGGTTCCGTGCTCACTCCTTCAATCCCAGATGCACACCACCCGGCATCCAAGATGAGAAAGAAAACATACTGTGGGCCCATCCAGCTGGCAGTGAAGTCATGGGAAGACGACATTCTCCCTGCCAGGCAGTCATCACTCGCACTGCCCACTCCAAATGCTTCTGTGGCGAGAAGGGCTGTGCTCGCAGGTACCTTGTCTTCACGGGGTTTTGGTGGTGAAGGATCTTAGAGCACTGAAACTAATTTTGTACATTACATATTCTGGAATCCTTTTTACTACCCACTTCAAAGCAGAGCGTGGTACAAAGCAGGCACAGTCTGGCACCCCTATCACACTACAGGTTTCAGGATCAGAAACAACCAATACCACTTCTAACCCAGACCACACCAAAGGGCTTTGGGGCCACAAGTGGTTCCATTTGTATTTGGGGCAGCACTCTGACGTCACTTCTGAGACATGCTAAGAAGTATCCAGCACGTGCACTGAACACAGGGCATATGAGCAGTATTCTATAGCACTCTGGGGTGCTTTCTTCCTGGGCTTCCTATCTTATCTGGCCTTTGGTATGTACAGCTTAAGTGATCTAACTATTTAACCAGAGACAGCTTGCTCAGATTTGGACTGTGAGATGTTAAGGAACACATACAGACGCACAACACAAGCACATCCACCTTCATTATTGTGGGGACAGCTGGGGAGATTATTAGACTTCTAAAGAAAACAATGCCCAGGACGCCAGTCATAGCCAGGTCCCCACTAACAGTGTCATGGCTGAGCTTTACAGCAAGGCCCCACCTGCTGAGACAATAGATGTTTATAAAATGCTTAGAACTCTGGAATAGAAGAGCCATGAGAAAAGTTGCTTCATCTGAACCCATTCAGATCACTCTACCACTCGGTGCAGGTGAAGCTTTGAAAGACATTTATTTCAGTGTCTCTCCCACTTGCCAAGGCTGAGAAGAGAATGGTCAGTGTATCTGCATAAAAAGGAAAAGCAGTAAACAAAACAATAGCGACAGACTCACTTCCAACCTAGTTGACAGTCGCCGTTTTAAGCACTCTATGATTATCTTCAACCTTCTGAAGAGGAAACCAAGATCCTGAAAACCAAGAGGCTGAGTAACCTGTCCATGCCCAGCAATAAAAGGTGGAGAAGCCAGGGCATAGCCACAGGCAATGTGGCTCCAGCATTCACCTCCCATATCAAGGCCATGAAGCTTCCAAACATCTCTTGTCTGTGGGGACTGACTCCCCAGAAGAAGCAGGGCAGACCTTCCTCCTGGCACTCTGAGTTTCATGCTCTGCCTAGACATTAAAGAAGGGAAGAATAGTCAAGTTTGAGACTTAAAACAGGTTTCCTTCACTCCCAAAAGCCCACAGGACAACACCAACCTGCAGACAGCATTCAGACCAACAATCTCTGTAAAACACTTTCAGAACTAGCTAATAAACTGATGCTCAAAATGAAGTGAAAATGTGGAGTCGAGAAAGTAATCCATTTAAATTACAGGAGATTAGTGTTGGTCTAGCACTAATGACATTTCAGAACTAATAAAGTGTAGCCAAGGGTCAAAAACAGTCCTGCGCTAGGAAGGATTAAATGAAGAACACAAATAGCAAAAAGCTTCTAGTGGATTTGAGAGAAGACAAGACACAGCAGGCATAGAAGAGCCAGGAAAGTCCCTTCCTGTGAATGCTGGGGGCCTGGGTATTTGGACCTACTGTCCTTAGTGAGGTTTTACCCAGTCCTGGATGGGGAGGAGGGGGTTGGTCATGGGTCACATGGCCATGCTGACAGGCTGCACCTGGCCCTTCTCCTCACAAAAACCATCAGGAAGTCAGCAGTCAGAAGTGGAGTGTGGCCCCAAGACTTAGGACAAGAAAGAGGTGTCTGAATACATAATTGGAAGGAGGTGGCGGAGAGCTGCCCTGATTCTTTCTCGGCATAGGAATCCCTAAGCCTGACTTCCTATCAGGGAAGACCATTACTGCATCTCTTTAGCCTCCCACAGGCAGCCTACAACAGAAATTCATAATCTGAAAACAAGAGTCAATAAACATTTTACACTATTTCAGTTAGGTAAGTTGTTGTGGCGACATTAAATTTCTATAGTTTTTTTTTTATATATCTATCTTTTAGTACTAGATACTGTGCTTTTGTGGAGGAGATTATTACAAAACTGTAATATTTCTGCTGTTATCATGTTTGCCTGTTTGTAGTACTAGGGTCTTGGTGCATGCTAAGCAAGCACTTTACTACTTGCTGGATTCCCTTCTAGAAATGTTAACACTTGAATGTGTTTTCCCATCTCATATAGACAATATGGCTTGTTATTTATACCAAAATTACAGCAATGGATAAAGAGCCCAACAAAAGTGCAAACTGTTAATCACACATTGGAAGATTTCTCCAGAACTTAACCATGACTGAAGCATTCATATAGAAGGTATGAAGACATCATATGCCTAGCCTAGGTTATGAGGCCCAGGTCTAGCTCCAGTACAGAGCTTTGTAGTAGGAGTCATTTCAAATGGGCATGCCTCTTGGCTGTAAGCTCCCTCATTCATACACCGAGGATCACAGCTTTTCTTGTATTATGAGGTGATGGTGTGGGACTCAAGGACATAAGGTCTAAAGAGGACTGCCATTTATGCTGTCAACTGCCTAACAGACTTGGCCATGCACAAAAGCAATTGCCACAACTTTCACTTTTATAAAATAAGGGTAATATTTTATGGATAGTAATGATGATTAAATAAAATCACAATATCATGGATAAGAATTGTTAAGTGGATGCTTTAGCTCTTGGGTCCAAACGATCAGGAACTAACTCTGTATGGGCCCTGAGAAGGAACTCAGTACAAGGTGCGACTGCGGAATTCTGTTCAATTTCTCACTGCAGTGAAATAGGGCTCACCATCTTTACCATTTCTCAGTGCTCAGCTCAGTGCCATTAAATTTGACTGTGCCATATCCATCCCTACAACTCTGTGTGTGGTGTATGTGTGTGCACATGTGGAGGTCAGGGCATGATGCCGATGTATACTGGTTTCCACCTTTTTGTTCTTCAAGACAGGGTTTCTCTGTGTAACACTGGCTGTCCTGGAACTTGCTCTGCAGACCAGGTTAGAAGGGTCTGCCTCTGCCTCCCGAGTGCTGGGATTAAAGGTGTGTGCTACCACCGCCTGGCTCCATCTTATTTTTCTGAGACAGGCTCTCTTGATGACATCTGAAGAATGTCACTTTGACTATGTTGGCTGGCCAAGTCTTCAGGCTTGTGCAGCAGTCACTTCGCCCACCCTCTCCACAACCTTTGGTGCTGTACGACTGAAACTCTGAACCCATTAAGCAGTGATGTTCCCTTTTCCCCCAGCTGCCAGAAGACACCTTTCCACATCCTGTCTCCATGGTTCCGACTATTCTAAGTACAAGGTGGCAGAGATGACACCTTATGACTGGCTTACTTTGTGGCCTTGGGGTTCGTTTACGTCACAGCACGACAGTAGTTATTCTGTGACACAAAGAGCATATTTTGCTTTCCTATTCATCCTCTGGACAGACACCTAGGCTGCATCCAGCCTATAGCTACTGTAAATGATGCTGCTATGAATAGGGGTGTGAAAACATCTCCAAGGCCCTGCTCTAAGTTCTGAAGGAAGTATACGCAGAAGTGGAATTGCTACATTGTATAATCATCTTGTTCTTAACTTTCTGGGACAGCACTACTGCCAACAAATGTTTTGACAGTAGCTGTATACTGATTCCCACTAACAGTGCGCACAAGATCCAAATTCTCCCCATCCTTCCCAAATTGTTTAACTTTCTGTATTTTTGACAGTTAGCCACTGTAGGGAGCATGAAGAGGTATCTCCTGGCTTGCTGTGTGTGCTTGATGACCCGTGATATGGAGTATCTTTTCCTGTACTTTTCCTGGTGATTACACAGCCTAAGAATCTTTTTAATTCATTTGTCCATCTTGGAATTGACTTATGTAGGTTGGTTATAAGTATTTTCTCCCATTCCAAAAAGTTACCCTTTTATGGTTGATGGTGTCTTCTAATGCACAATTTAAAAAAAATTTGATGCAGTCCAATTTGTATGCAGACTTTGCCATTTGTATCAAAAAAAAAGAAGCCATCCCCAAATCTAAAGATGGCATTTTCTTCCTTGTGTTTTACAGTTTTAGTAAGATCTTTAGGTTTTTGATAAAGTGTTATGTATGGTCTTGGAAAGGGTCCTTCCTAATGTCCTTTTTTTGGCAATGGGTCTCATGATGCTGTCCAGGATGGACTCCAACTCTTGGGTTCAAGTGATCCTCCTGCCCCTGCTGCTCAGCTTCCCCATTTCTGTCATCTGTGAGTGTCCAGTTTTACCTGCACTATTTGTGGATAGAGTAAAAATTCCCATCCTTGTCAAAAAAAATTATGAGACTACGTATGCCAGGGTTTATCTCTGGGTCTGAATTCTACTATACTAGTTCACATGGCTTTCTTTAGGGCAGTTTTAAAGCTGAGATCAAGTTGTAGAATTTAGGAAGCATAAGGACCCCGGAGGAGTGTTTCTGAAGTTTCCTGAGATCCTATGACTTTCAGAACTAGTCTTCCTACTGAGTTGCACTAAATCTAAAGACATACTAATAGTCGGAATTACTGGCAGATTATCAAAACCTTCAATGAAATGAGTATATTTCCATTTCCTTAGAGATTACTTTTCTTTCAACAACATTTTCATTGTATAAGCCTTCCTCCTGCTTGGTTAAATTAATTTCTCAGTATTTTATGATGCTACTATAAATGGAACACTTTCTTTTTCACAAGATTCATTAGTATACAGAAATATAATTGTTTCTAATGCATTGATTCTGTATTTTACTATTTTATAGAATTCATTTATTAGTTATATTAGTATTGTCTAGAATACATGAGTTTTCTGTGTATAGTCAATCACCTAAACAGACAGTTTCATTTCTTCCTTTCCAATTTAAATGCCCTTCATTTTTTCCTGCCTAGTAGCAGCTTTGGCTAGAACCTTCACAACTAAGTCAAATAAGAGGTAGAAAAACAAGCCAGGTGGTGGTGGTACACACCTTTAATCCCAGCACCCAGGAGGCAAAGGTAGGTAGATCTGAGTTTGAGGCCAGTGTGGTCTAAATAGAGAGTTCTAGGACAGCCAGGGCTACACAGAGAAACCTTGTCTTGAAAACCCAAAAAGGAGTGGAGCATTCTTGCTTTGCTCTTCACCTTGGAGGAAAGGTGGCCAATCTTCTGCCACTGAATGTGATGCATGCTGTGGACTTCTTAAAAAGTTTCTATTATGTTGGGATAGCTACAATGCATTTCTAGTTTGCTGACTGTTTTTAACATGAAAGGTTTTTTTTTTTAAATTTTGCAAATGCCTTTTCTGCACCAATAGAATTGGCCGTGCAATCTTTTCACTTGTTCTGTTAATGTGGTTTACCAATTTAGTGTAGCCATCCCGGCATTTCAGGAAGAAATCTTGCTGGATTGTTGTGTATAATCCTTTTAATATGCAGCTGAATTTAGTTTGCTAGTATTTTCTTGACTATTTCAATGTCAGTATTCCCAAGGAATATTGATCTGTGGTTTCCTTATAGTGTCTCCTTTAACTATTATAAGGTAATGTTCCTCTCATGGAATGAAGTAAAAAGTGCTACTCCATCTTCAATGTTTTGGAAAATTTTGAGAATGACCAGTGTTAATTCTGTGAATGTAGATTCCACCAGGGAAGGCATCAAGTGTAGGGTTTCTGACCTCCTCACCAGGACAGGTATACTCAGTCTCCATTCCTTAGCAACTTAGATACAGTTTCAAATATCTAGAATTTATTCACTCAGGTTAACCAAATCATAGGCATACAATTATCACAGCACCTTTATAATTCTTATTTCTATAGAGTCAGTAGAGTATTGTATTATTTCATTTCTGATTTTAGTAATTTGAGTCTTCTCTCCTTTCTCATAACCATGTAGATGCAGGTTACCCATCTTAAAGAACAACTTTTGTTTTTGGCACCTAATTTCATTCTATTATGAAAGCTGTGCATACTAATTCTCTTTGAAAACGCACTGAGAGTTGATCTGTGTCATGATACAGGGTCTATCCTGGAAAACACTCCAGGAAGCATCTGTGGGAACCAGGCATGCCATTGCAGTCTGTATATCCTGTACATACAGCTAGTGCAGCATGCTGTTTAAATTCTCTGCGCACCCTCATCTTCTGACAGACTTCTACCTATTATTCAAAGTTGGAGACTGAAGTAGACAACTATTAAAAAAACTTTGAGC